AGAGAGAGAGAGAGAGAGAGATAGGCGAAGGGGTCAGAGATGAGAGGCAGGTTCTGAACATAATGGTGTCTGAAGGAAAATTTTTAAAACTCTTCAGCTATCTAAGTTCCTAGCTGCCCTTGCGCGGCACCCCAGTGCGTTCTTCGGAAAAAGAGCCCGGAATAGGCGAAGCGCAGCTCAGCGTCTGCGCCACAGCGAAAGCTACTATTTGCCTGGTGCGGGCCCAGTCTGGCAGGCAGGCTAAGCTTGCAGAGGCGGCAGTAAACTAACCGCCGCACCTCGGTCTCTTGGCTGTCAGCAAGCCTGTCTCCGCCTCCACCAGGTAGAGCTGCAAAGAAGTCTCGGAATTTTCACTTACACAACTACGGTTGGCAATAGGATTTTTTGTTTGTTTCGTTTTGCCTTAACCAGACCTGCTTAGAAAATGTCCAGGATCTTAGCGAGACCCTGTGTGGCCAAATCTGGGCCAATGACCTAAAAGCACCTGGGGGAAAGGGGGAGATGATCAGAACCGTTTTCTGGCTCTTTTGGTTAGGTTAACGTTTTGTCAAGAGCACCACACTTCCAGATCTTCATGTACATTGACTCTACATTAGTACTGTCTATCAGATCCAGCTGCTTTGCGACAGAAACATATAGATTTGGAATTTGCAGAAGTCTATAAGGGTGCAGACTAGACTTTCAGTTGTCTCGCCTGCCCCCTGCCCCCTACTTCCCCCTTCCCAGAGTAACCTACAGGGCATCGGGAAGCCAGGGGTTAAATTTGGCCGGAAAGCTTCTAGGGGACGACCGGCCCGCGGCCTTGGCCCGAGCCTCAGTCTCTCCTTTCCTCTCATTGGCCGGCGCTCTCTGGGTTTCTCCTGTTCCCATCTTGCGATTGGTTGGGGGCTGGCTTTCCCCCACTCAGTCTTTTTCTTCCTGCCCCCCTCCCTTCTCCTTCACCCCTAGGACAGGAGCTCACTGCCTGCCCCCTGTTCCTCGGGAAAGGAGGAATTCGGGGGGGAAAAGTTTCCCAGAAGTTTGGATCAGGGAAGGGACGGGAAGACCGGGAGGGGAAGAGGGAGAGGGAGGAGAGAAAGGAAGAGGGAGGAGAGAGGGAGAGCACTTAAAAAAAAAAAAAAAAAAAAAAAAGATGAAGTCCAGTCCTCACTGCCAGTGAGCGCCTGCCCTGGTGGGTGGGAGCAGGACTCCGCGCTAATGCAGCAGAGCCGCGGCGTTCCGGGCGCTAGTTCCTAGAGGCTGGAGCAGCTGGGGGCGCCGGTCCGATCCGGCGGTGGAGGGCGGGCGGGGAAGGACACCGAGGGAGGGAGCAGATCACCCGCGGAGCCGCCTCCTCTCCCCGGCCCCGCTGGCTGGGCGCTGGGAGCTTGCAGGCGCCGGCTGCCACCTCTGTAGCGGGGGCGAGCGGGGACCCGGGTGCGGGAGGCTAAAATGAGTGAAAGGAGAAGATCTGCAGTCGCCCTGAGCTCCCGAGCACATGCCTTCTCCGTTGAAGCCCTGATCGGCTCAAATAAAAAGCGGAAACTGCGAGACTGGGAGGAGAAGGGGCTGGACCTCTCCATGGAGGCGCTGAGTCCCGCAGGCCCACTCGGGGACACTGAGGACTCGGCGACACACGGCCTGGAGCCCCACCCGGGTGAGTGCCTGGGATCCGACTGCGGGAGGCGGGTGAAAGAGGAATTCCAAACCGCGTTCCCGAGAATGGAGGGAGGCCCTGTCTGCCGACGCCCTGCCTTACTTCGACCTGGGTTTCTTTTTCTTGGCGTAAATGCCTAAGAGTCTCCCGAAATTCCCCGGAACCAGTTTGGGGGTGCTGGCTGGCGGGATCCTTGAGTTTTCTTTGTCAGTTTGAAGCAAGGAGGCCTCCTCGCGTGCAATCCTCTCTCATAGTGGAAGACAGCATTCGAGGTGACCAGGCTGAAGGGCTGCGGGCCCCTGGCTTTGGGAGAGCGCAACCAAAGACAAGGGCTAGAGACTCCGGTGGGTCTGAGCCTGGCTTCTGAGCGCTCCGGAGCACTGGCTCGGGACCCATACTCCAGTCTTGGGAAATGCTCAGTTTTCATCTTTTAGTTCCTCTCCCAATTAACCGTTAGCTGATGGAGCTTATTTGTATTTCTACTTCACTGGAAATAGGAATGGAAATTAGACCTCTTATCCTCTGCCCTGGATCTCTCTTCTGGGCCCAGGTTGTCTGTCTTTGGGTGGATGTTTCAATTAACTGATCTCGGATCTAGGCATATTCTATGTATATAATATGTAGAAGACACTTAAAATGCAGGGCGAGTGTCAGTGTGTGTATTTTAACAGAACCCTAGGAGGGGAAAAACAACTTAATGTTTTGTATTAAGTGCCAAGATTTCAACTGTGCAAAACAGCCCGGGGGAACAGCTGTTGTCAGAACTTTGTGAGCATGCACTAACATTATCACTCATAGCTTGGTTTAGCAGCTTCAGAAAATTTCCAGCCCAGACTTCTAAAACCGTGCAGGAGGTGTACCTGCTGACCAGCCAGCGTTGGGGGGAGTAGACCTGGGTCCTCTGCCTGTAAGACCCAAGGGGTGGTGGTAGGGATCAGCAGCCCACACAGGGTTGAGACTCACAAGCTCAGGAGCTTGGGGATCCCAGCCGGAAAGCTGGCCAAACCCGAAGAGGGACAGCTGTCGCTTACATTTTCTTTTTCAGCAGTGACAGTTCAATTTCCATGCTCCGGAGTCTAATAATAATAGGATTTTAGGAAGAGACCTGCAGAGACAGAGTTTTATGAATTCTCTGTGTTCTTGCAGCCCGTTACGGAATTTGGGGTTAGTGCTGGGGAATTATTTTTATTAGTCGATGAAAAGAAAATTAAAAGGAGATTTATTTTGTCCAACCAAATCTTTCTCTATTTGGATGCCAGTGCAAGTCCACTCATACTCCTGCGTGGGCAACCCAGGAAGGAACGCATGGCTAATGAGCTTTCTTTCTTTTGCCAGATGCTGTTTCCTCACTTAATTTATCTGTTGTCAGAATTTCACTAAGGCGTTCATATAGTCTGTGTCATATAGTTCTTTCAGGCCTTCTGACAACTTTCGATTTGGAAGTTTCTTTTCCTTACCCGACAGTGGAAAAGGAAGAAGTTATTTAACTTTGTAAGATAGATGTCTTGTCAGGGGAGCTTTTCTCTTGGGAGATCCCAGGCTGCCAGGAGTATGTACTGGGTCTTACATTCAAAAGGGCCAACACATAGGGTCAAAACCAGAAACACAGTTAACAGCTTTCTCTTTCTGCCATTTTCCTCAGCCAGAAGTTAGGAGAGCAAAGAGAGGGGACTCTGGAAAGGGAATGTGCCAAGGATATCATCATGGCAAGCTGGTTTCCAGAAGTTTGTTCACGAGTTCCTGCCTGACAAGGATGAGATAGAGCTAATCTTAGTAACACAGTTCAGTAGATCTGTCCGTTATTTTATCACTTGTTTAAAAAGGAAAAAAGGGAGGGGTCCGGATTCAAGAAAATGAAATATGTTTACGGGCAAGGTTCCAGAAGGAGAAATCTAAAGGGGGAGAGCACTGGTGTGCTTTCTGAGGAGCTAGGCTACCAACCAGCTGGACATGGCCTTGGGCAGGTGGGATCCCCAAGTCAGAGCTCCTGCAATGGCCTAGAGGTTTCCTTATGATCTGGATTTAGAATGAGAACACATCTTTGAGGAAAAGAACCCCATAGTGTGTAGATGTGTTGTTGTCTAACACAGCCCCTAATGGACACAGCGGGCCACATTTAAAGAGATGTATATGAATTTGTTTAGTCTTCATGATTCTTTTCCATCTGTCTTCTCCCTATTAGGGCCAGAGAGGTTGCTGTGTGAGTCGCTGGCCTTAGGCTGATAACAAAGCAGACAAAGGGGAAAAATAAATACAAAATAAAAACAAAACTGCCTGGGGCAGGATTAAATTTATATCAGCCCAGAGTAGCTGTATTTGTCATTCTCTCCTTCTTCTCTCTGACCCGTTTAGCGGGTTTTCAGTCGGCCCTGCCCGTGGATCCTGAAACCCACAGGGTCCTCAGCAATCCAGGGCCCAAGCTGTAATGCTGAACTGTAATTCAAACTTGAATTCGAGGACTCGGCCTTTTGCTTTTTCACAGCCCGCTTTTCTTTCCGTGTCTGGACAAAATTGGCTTTAGTAGGCGCCTAAGCACCCGAGGCCTGGGCGCCAACCTGTAGCAGTGGGGAGCCTCCGCGCTGCAGGCAACTCGGCGGTCGGAGGACACAGTGTGTATTTCAAAAATTTCCACCAGAGCCTCGCGGCCGGGAAAAACCCCTGGGCCTGCGGGGCTTCGGCGGAGGCCCCTGCGGTCCTCGCACTGCGGTCCTCCGTCCGCACTCTCTGCCATTGGTAGAGGATGCGAGGATGGAGTCATCACAAGCCGGAGAGGGTCTCGAGTCCGGTTTCTGAGGAGCCGGCTCTCCAGACTGTTCTCAGGCCTCTGGCTGAGCAGCAACCGAAGAGACTTTGCCGCCGGGACCCGCAACAGCTGCTGTGGCCGCGGCCTTGGAAGTGTATTTCGGGCGCGCGGCGGCGCCATCTACGCTCAGACCCCATCCGCCGCTTCTCTCTGCTTCCCCCAACTCTGGTCAGGACTCTTCCCTTCCGAATCCTCCGCCGAGGGCTGTTGAGGCCCGGTCTCCTGCGGAGAGAAATAATTCAAACCTTCTGGGGAGGTATTTCCCTCTTCTGAGATTGCAGGCTGGAGCCCCGCGGCCGGCGGCGGCGCTTCGCAGGCCTAGGGAGGTGGAAGCACGCGAGGGAGGTGGAAGCGTACAGGCAGGCACACGCCGGACACGCAGGCCGATGGGTACCCTCTGCACATGTGCACAAGCAGAGCCCCTTAACAATCTCGCACGCACCCTCGCGCGCAAACCCTAGTGAAAAGAGACAGGAAAAGCCCAAGCAGAAACTCAGCGGTTTGTTTCTAGCGATCTCGGAGTTACCGAAATCACATAAATTAATCTGCCAGTTTATTATTTATTTGCTCAGAGTAAAAATGAGATTTTAATCCTGACATTACGTCTTAACCCACCCCATTCCCAGTAGGGAAACAGGGTGAAACAGAGGAAGTGACTCTTCACTGACGTTTAAAGGACGGATGGAGAGATGGACTGGATGTCAGTGGAGAGAATGCGCTCAGCCAGGACCCAAGCCAACCCTAGGGGACACGCAGAGGGTCGGCCTGGGGTAAAGGACGGTGCCAGGAACTTTAGTTACTCGGTGCTACGTGCACCGCCCTAGACGCTGGAGTAAAGCAAGTGTCCAGGGTGCACAGTCTGCGCCCGCGGAGCAGCCGAGGAGGCCTTGTTGGAAGTTTGCAAGTCTCCCACCTTCTCAGGTCCAAAGGGCCTTCCTCAAAGGCCGCCCCTTTGGTCAGCGACCTTGGGTGAAGGAGAAGCAAGGGAGGAGGTAAGGACAGAATTTGCCATTGGTTGGAGAGGATGGTTGTTGATTGGGGAGTAAGTGCCAGGAGTGTTTTTCTATGGAGATGTCCTGTGGAAGTTGAGGCTGAGAGAGGGCTTCGTCCTGGCTCCTACGGAATGGGAAGGGGTTGTGGAGACTTTCAATCCCAGCTCTGCAATGGTGGTAGAAGTCAGTAGGGTAAGGAGAGTAATTCTAACAGCCCATCTCAAAGAAATGACAATAAGCCGCTTAGGAACAGTTGGGAGGACAGGGCCTGGGGGAAACCTAGATGGTCAGAGTTTCCTGTGCTGGGTAGCAAAGTGAGCTCGCTGCGGTTTACTCTTTGGTAGGCCAACCCCCTATCCTCAAGCCTCAGAACTAGGGTGGTAGGCTAAAGGGTAACAAACTGGCCTGCAGAATACACTCTGTTCGCTGCCTCAAGGTTAGGAGAAGCTGCTCATTTGCCTCTGGTCCTTATTTCCTGGGGCATCTCAGAAACTTTTTCCCTTCTTGCCCTTCTTGCCTCTCCAAGAGGTGGCAAACTTAAGGACCGGCAAAGGCTTTCCTATGCAAGTCAGCTACAACCTTGGGGGTCTGAAATTCTGAATTTGGGTCTCCCCTGTGCCTCCGAGGACATTTCTTATTGAACATCGCTTTTGGGTTCCTAGCTAGCCATTTTGGGTTTACTGATTTTGTGGATGAAATTCCCAGAAAGAAAAGTTCATAGGGTGCCATTTATGTGGGGAGAAAGAATTAAATTTTTTGAAGTGCAGAATTCAGACAGAAATTAAACTGACATAGATCCCATGACATTTTCCTTACACCCCCACATCCTCATATCAATTCAAAAAACAAAAATTTAATTATGAAAGAAAATTAATTTAAAACATCTTTAATGCGCACGCAGCTTGTGTGGTGTGAGAAGAATTGAGGGTCAAACTCCCAAATATGGGGTGTTCTCGGTTTGTGTTCCCCACTTCTTTGTATAGCTTCCATACATGTGGCCATGAACCTATGGAAGCAAATCCTTCATTATTAATCCTCCATGTTGAAGCCCAAGAGAGAAAGACACATGTACGGTCAGAAGACAGAACCTCCGCGTTCATCCAAGTCTATACAGTCACTGCTGTTGTTGAAAAGCAGAATATTCCAGATCCATCACAGTAAGACTATTAGCAAAAACTGCAATATTAATATGAAGACAAACTCTT